ATCAGTTCTCAACAATTATTTGTTATTATTAAAGTTTAACATTATACAATTAACAAAAACTATAAAACTCATATCCCAGTGAAATAGCCACATGGCAGCTGAAAACTGTATATTCTCTTCCTGTTCTCCTGCCATTCCCTAGCTTGTCGTGCATTCTTTCCAAAAATCAGAACTTTTTTAAAACACTGCAGGACGTAGGGCAAATTGTTAAAAATCGGGACTGTCCCACCAAAAGCGGGAACTCTGGTCACCTTACACTAACACACTTGTCTCTCCTCTCAGCTCTATCAGTTTTTGTTTTATGTATTTCAAAGATCTATTGTTTGTGTACACATTTGGGACTGCTATATCTTGTTGATGGGTTGAGTCTTTTGTCATTATGGAAGGTCCTTCTTTTCCCCCTATTCTGAAGTCCACTTTAGGTAATATTAGTATGGCCAGTCTTGTCTTCAAAAATTCAAAGTTTACACGATAGACTTTTTCCATCCTTTTACTTTCAATCTACGCCATTGTGTTTGAAGTGAGCTTCAACATAGACATACAGTTGGGTCATTTTTAAAAATCTGCTCTGCTAACCTCTGTCTTCTGATTGATGTGTGCAGGCCATTTACATATAGTATATTACACCTACGTTTACATTTAATATTATTTGTTTTTGTACTCTCTCTCTTGCTTTACTGTGGGATATTTAAACATTTTTTTGAATTCCACTTTATAATGGTTTTGAGTTCATCACTATATGTAGTCTCCTCAGTGGTTGCTCTAAATACCACCACACATGTAAAAACATATCAGTCTATTGGTGTCAACACTTTACCACCTCAAGTGCAGTGTAGAAACCTTACTTCCATTCAAGTCCCTTACCCTTCTCATTTTAAAAATATATCTGTTGTAAGTACATACACTGAGCCCCATATCAGTGTTGGAATTTTGGCTTCAATCATCAAATGTGACTCAAGAAACTCATGAGGTGAAGGACAGTCAGTGACATTTACTTTTATTTTTCATATTCCATTTTTCTTCCTTAGTTCCTGAGCATCCCAGTCCGCCTATGTTACAATTTTCTATCTGGAGAAATTTCTTTTGGCATTCCTTTATGGTAAGTCTGCTGCTTTTGAGAATATCTTTACTCCTTCAGTCTCGAAGGGTAGTTTTGCTGGATAGAGGGTTCACAGTGGACAGCTCTTTTCTAACCATACTGGTTTCCCCTTCCTTCTGACCTGTGTGGCTTTGGATAAGAAATCTGTCATTCTCATTGGTGTTCCTCTGTAAGTAATGCATCATTTCTGTCTGTTTTTTAGTTTTCAGAATTATCATGTGTCTTGGTGTGGATTTTTGGAGAGCTTATTACACTAGGGCTTCTTTTTATTATTGATTGATTGAGACAGGGTCTTGCTCCATCCTCTAGGCTAGAGTGCAGCAGTGTCATCAAAGCTCACTGCAGCCTCAAACTCCTGGGTTTGAACAATCTTTGTGCCTCAGCCTCCCAAGCAGCTGTAGTATAGGAATGTGCCCAACTAATTTAATTTTTTTGTAGAGAAAGGGTTAGCTGGTCTCAAACTCCCGGGTCTCCCAAAGTGCTGGAATTACAAGTCTAAATCTGTGCCTGGATTCACCTTCTTGATTCTGTGGGTTTGTCTTTCACTGAAGTGGGGGTGTTTTCAGCCATTTCTTCAAATATTTCTTTAGCCCTTTCCCCCAACACTCTTTTTGTCCTGGAAAACTGATGATACAAATTACTGTCTCACTTATCTCTGAGATTCTGCTCATTCTTCTCAGCCCATCTTCTCTCTGTGGCTCAAATTGAGTAAATTCCATTGGGGCCTTCAAGTTCCAGGGTGCCACCTGCATTCCACCACTGTATCCTCCCAGAAGACACTGAATTATTGCAGTTATATTTTTCAGTTCTATAATTTCCACCTGGTTCTTTTCATAACTTCTATTTCTTTTCTAATACTTTCTATTTTTTTCATTTGTTTCAAAAAGACTGTAATTACTTTTTGAAGCTTTTTTATAACTGCTTTAATATCCTTAGGAGATCATTCAACATCTGGTTTGCCTTGGCATTTATGCCAGTTAATTGTCATTTCACACTCAAATTGTTGTTTTCTCGGTTCTTGGTATGAAGGGTAAATTTCAAATGTATCCTGAACATCCAGGTTATCATGTTTGGAGACTCCTGATTTTATTCCAATCTTGTTTCAGCAGGCAGGCATCCTGTTCAGGGTCAATGACCATCTCATATTCAGAACCCGTGTGTTACCCTCCTGATCAGCTTTTTTTTTTTTTTTCCTTTGAGATAGTCTCAAGTCCTGGGTAGATAGTCATGGCATTATAGCTCACAGCAACCTCCAACTCGGGTTCAAGCAATCCTCTTGCCTCAGTTTTTCTATTTTTCAGTAGAGATGGGGTCTCACTTTTGCTCAGGCTAGCCTCAAACTTGTGAGCTCCAGGAATCCATTCACCTTGACCTCCCAGAATGCTGACATTATATGCACTCTGATCTGCTTTATTGATAAGACTAGTGCTGCTGCTCAGTCTCCATTGGTGCTGCCTGGTGTTCCTGGGCCACCTTCTGCTGTGGTGGGAGTGGGGTAAACATGTTCCTCCTGCACCTCCTTGTGCTACTAGGAAGAAGGCCAGATTTCAACCCTTGGTAACTCAGTTGTGTAGCAAGGGTTGGGTGGTCTCACAGGAGGTATGAAGATAATGCAGAGGTGGGAGTTCCCTACTACATTTCTATGGGGCACCCCCTTTCCCAGCCTTTTGGCCAAAAGCAGGCAGCTTCCCCTGAAGATTCATCTATGCCCATTGGCTGTTCTGAGTTGCAGGCCTCTCTGGTGCCTACTCCAGGAATATATAACAACAACAACAAAAAAAGTTCAGAGAACCCAATGCACTGCTATTCTTCTAGTCCTACAGTCCCTAGTCAGGGTGTTATATTCTTTCCAACTCTCAGGATACTTTCCCCTTTCGGCTGTTGAATTACGTACAAGATATCTGGCTGTACTTCAATAGAAAAAGCAGGGAAAAACGAAGTGCCACCATCCTAATTTAAGTGTTCATCATCATCTCTCATTTGGACTGCCACCACCAACCACTGGGCTCCCTACTAACCTGTCTCTCAACAACAGCCAAGGGTCTTTGAAAAGCAAAGACCTGATCTTGCCAATGCATCAACTTAAAATCTGAGGCCTCCATTGTTTTAATTCCAAGGCTCTGTGGTCTTGCACCACCAATCTCAACACTCCCTGCCTACTCCCCCACCAGAAGCTTTTATTTTCTGAACAGTGGCTGCCTCTTTCCCTGTGGTCCTTTACTAGGGCTGCTGTAACAAACACAGGATGGGTGGCATGAATGACAAACATTTAATTCTCACAGTTCTGAAGACTGTAAGTCCAAGGTCAGAGTATGGGCAGGGTTGGCTCCTCCTGAGGCCTCTGTCCTTGTCTTACAGACAGCTGTCTTCATGTTCAAGTCACATTCTCCCTGTGTGCATTGGGAAAATTCCCTTTTTCATGAGAATAGCCATCATGTTAGGTTAGAGCCTACCTGAATGACCTCATCATAACTTGATTATATCTGCAAAGCTCTGGTCTCCAAATAAAGTCACATTCTAAGGTACTGAGGTAAAGACTTCCAACATATGAATGGGAGGTACAATTCAGGCCCACTCCCACCAGAGGGCCTCTGCCCTGTGCTGTTCCCTTCCTCTGCAACTCTGTCTCCAGCTCCTCCCCATATCACTTGGTTAACTCTACTTATTCTTATTTTACCTCCAGCAATTGCTCGCTCAGGGAATCCTTACACGTCTACATCAACTTCCTTTGACATTCACTGTCTTAACGATCACTGTGGCTAAACGTTTATTAATGTGATCTTTCCATTAAGGGCTGATCTTCTTCTGCAAGGCCACAGGACCTGTTAGAGCAGGGACCTCGCCGCAGTGCCCTCAGCCCCAGGAGCCTCAGACAGAGCCGGGTGCAACTACGCCTGCAGGAGGAAAGAGCAACAAAGGTTACGAAAAACAACGCTCGCCTGTTCACGCTGCCATTTAGCAAAACAAGCGTCAACAACAACAACAAAAAGAGGAGTGCAAATTCAAAATAACGTCCAGTCCTTATAATCAAGAACGTTTTGTTTTTTGAAAATAACCATTAAGTGGATGTCCCGAACGGCGAGAACTCGGGCTCCTGCCTGGGGTCCGCCAGCCCTTCTTCCCGGCCACAAGGCGGGACCTGAGCCGGGAATTAGACCCTTCTTCCCGGAGCAGTCGAGCGGCAAGGAGAAGAGGATCCCATACGCTGACATCGGCTCCGGCCACCACGCGGGAAACCCGGGCCCCTCACGAACCCAGAGACCGGAAAACCTCGCCGGGGCCTCCCCGCCCCAGGCAGCCGCGCGGCCCGCCGGAAGTCCAGCCGTAATCCGCGCCGCGCCGTCGCGAAAGCATCGGTTCCCCGTGGTGACGGGCGACGCGGAAAGATGGCGGCGCCGGGGTTGGTGGAGGCCGCTGACCCTGCCGAAGCGGTAGAGACGGCCGAAGCGGCGGAGTTAAGCCGCGCGCTGAGCCGCCTGCTGCCGGGGCTAGAGACTGACAGCAAGCTGGGCCGGCGGCGGGCGCTGGAGGCCCTACGGCGCGCACTGGAAGAGGCGGGACCCGCCACCGATCCCGCTGCCTTCCAGGGCCCCTGGGCGCGTCTACTGCTGCCGCGCCTGCTGCGCTGCCTGTCCGACCCAGCCGAGGGCTGCCGCGTGCTCGCAGCGCACCTCCTGGCTCTGGGCATGCAGCGCGCCGCGCGGCCACGCGACGCTCTACCGCGCCTACTGCCCGCGCTCGCCGCGCGCCTAGTCAGCCCCGAGTCCGCGCGCCGGCAGCCGCCCGAGACTTGCGAGGAGCTGCGTTTGGGGCTCGTACAGCTGCTCGGCCTGGCTGTGGGCTTAGGCGGCGCGGCGCTCGCGCCCTACCTGGATGACGCGGTGCGCGTGTTGCGCTGCACGCTCCTCGACCCCTTCGCTGCCGTGCGCCGCGAGAGCTGCCAGTGCGCCGCCGCCCTGGCGCGCGCCACGCCGGGTGAGCGCCCCGCGCTGCGTTTGCCCCCGTGGCCCTCAACCTTCACCCTTCGCGGCCCCAACCTTCTGCGCTCGCGCCCCATCTGTCCCGCGTTCCCCAATCTTCCCAGCTCGCGCTCAGCTTGCTCTAGGTCCCCAACCTCTCCAGCTCGCGCCCCGCCTTCCCCCGGCTTCCCATCTCTATCAGCCCAAGTTCAGGAGGTAGTGCTCCTCTTCTGGACCCGCACCTTTGCTGCTCCTGTCCAGATTCCTGAAAACTACCTCAGGAATTTCTTTTGTGCCAGTTAAAGTGGACTATGTTCTGGTAGCTCTCGCAGGGGTGATTTTCATCTGGGTGGTTAAATTAACCACGCTTTGAGAAATGCCCATTTTTTGAGCCTGTCTGGCCTCCGCTGTGAAGGGAATCGGTTTCTCTCCTGCTCTTTAATTCAGTGCCATAATTTTAAAAGCTCTTATCTGACCAAAACATTTCTTTTCCCTAAGTAGTTATTTCTGCACGTCTTGGACCAGTTCCATCTCTGGGGTGTGGGCTAAGAGTCACCTACTTAATGCCGGCAGGAAGGGTTCAGCTGAAAATCCCGGGTCCCAGAGGGAGCCAGCCATGAGGAATAAGCTCATCAGATCTGAGGAGTAGGAAAGGAGGAAGGGAGAGGCTGGCAGGGGTGGTGTGGTCCACATGCCCTCTGCGTAAAGTTTGGATTTAACAGAAAATGCAGGAATGTATCTCTCAGGTCTGGGGTTTTAACAGATCACACTGGCACTGTGTGGAGAACAAGTTACAGAGGTGGCAAGAGAGGGAATGAGAAAGTCACTGGGGCTGTTATCAACCCATACTTTGAATGACGGCTTGGACTGGTGGGGGAGGAGGTCTGCTAATAGGAAAGGAAGGAAGAGAGTGGGGTTAGGGATGTTTGGAAGGTAGGACTGATATGACTTCTTGTTGAATTGGGCAAGGAGTGAGGAAGGAGATCTTGTGTAAAGTCTCGAAAGGAAGAACCCCACTTAAGATAAGGTTAAGATTTCCATTTTGGTTACATTAATTTTGGATTTCAGATATTCTACTACTCCAGTGGGAGTTTGGGGAAAAGACTTAGGCTGGAGATGGCTGTTAGGAACTCCACACATTTTATGCATCTCTCATCACCCTTGTCCATCTCTCCCTAGCCTGGGCACCAACCCCTTTACAAGGGGACGCTTCCCAGGTTTCCCAAGTTCCCTCTCTGGACTGTATATCCTGTGAGTCAGGACTGCACCTAAATGTGCCCCAGCCCTGAGCACAGTGCCTGCCATGGCGTGGGTACTCACTGATGCCTTGTGGAGTGGAGGACTATTTTTTCTGCTCATAGCATTTCCTCATTTCCAACATCATCCCTTCTGCCACTCTCCCCTGGGTAGGAAACCTCTTCTCTGCCCTTCCCTCCTCCCCATTGGAGAGTAGCCGCCTATGTGTGCAGACTTAGGTGAAAGAACTCAAAGCGTCATTGAACTAGCCATTTCATAGATGAGTTCCAAGTATTGTAGAACTGCGGGCAGAACTCCAAAACAAGACGGTCAGCTTGGCTCTCACAGAGACCTTTCTGGTTCTGATTTTCTGTGAGGACTTTACGAAGAGGAGGTAGAGTAACATTGCCCAGAGTGGTGTTGGTCTGGCTTCAGGTTTATCTGAGAATGAGAACTTGCTTTGTGTTCTCTGGGCTTATTTTCTTCCTCTGGCCAGTGTCCCTTTCAGGCACCCACTATAGCTGTCAGCAGATGCAGGCTTTCCCTTACAGTTCCTGTCCTCAGCTGCAATGGGGTCTAACCCCTTTGGTGCCCACTCCCTAGCCTCCAAGACATAGAGGTGCCATCCCTGAATGTTTCCCTGTGTTGGGTGACACAAAGCTTTGCTTGGCAGCTTGAGTTGTGGGCTGTTCTGCAGAAGGGGTCTTGGGTGGGAGAGGAAGGGAGGGAGAGGGTCACCATCATGGTGGCCAGTCCTGAGAGTCTGCAGAGATGGGCCTGGGGTGAGGAGTATAGGAGAAGCTCTGGTGATAGGTGGCTTCCCTGTCCCACAGACCACTTCCACATGCAGTCCGAGTCTCTGATTGGCCCTCTGATGCAGACCATCTCCCATCAGCACTGGAAGGTCCGGGTGGCTGCCATTGAGGCCACAGGCACTGTGATCCAGTTTGGCAACGGGAAGTCCGTGGATGATGTGCTTTCACACTTTGCTCAGCGGCTCTTTGATGATGTCCCACAGGTAACAAGCCTTTCTCTGCTGGACGGTCTGTTCCTTTTTCTACCAGAAACAGCCGACCTACTATTTTTAACTAACTCACTTGCTTTTTTTCATTTCAAGATGTTACATGTACCAAATGTACTTTCATCATTCTCAGTTACAAAATGTTCCTATTTCACATCTTTGAAAAGCCATGAGAGAGCTGAATCATATTAAAAGTGTTTGTTATTGTCAATTCCAGGGAATGCAGGAAAAGTTTATTTTTGTAATTATGGTGTCTTAAAAGGCAAAAAATACAAAGTGTGTGTGCTTGAGCAGTTAGTGAAAATATCTTTAATGTGTCCATCTGTCAAGGCGAATTTGCTGAAAGGGCAGTGGTTGCTGGACCTGGCCTGGGAGAAGACTGTAAAGCTGGGCATAGATAATTCATGCTTTTGGGCTTGGAAACCCACAGAGAGACAGGCTGGAGTCCGACAGATGGAAATCAGAGTATTGGGTTTATTGCTAGAAGACACCAGCTTAGAGGGTGTATTTCGTATCTGAGGCTCTGATATGGTTCTGACACTTTACAAGTTGTGACCACAGAGGAGCTTCCCTGTAGGTCACTAAGGATGACTAGCCTCACCTCTCATCTTCCTGTCTCTATGAATTTACCTGTATTAGGTATTTCGCATAAGTGTAATCATGCAGTATGTGCTCTTTTGCGTCTGGCTTCTTTCACTTTGCATAACGTTTCCATCGTTGATCTGCCTTGTAGCATATAGCAGCACTTTATCCCTTTTATGGCTGAATAGTATTCCGTTGTACATGTATACCATGTGTTTATCCCTTTGTGTGTCTGTGGACACCTGAATTGTTTCTATATTTTCGCTGCTATGAATAGTGCCTCTGTGAGCATGTATGTCTAAGTCTCTATTTGACTCCCTGTTTTCACTTACTCATGGTCTGTAATTAGGAGCAGAATTGCTGGGTCACATGGTAACTCCTTGTTCAGCTTTTTGAGGAATCAGCAAGGCATTTTCCACAGCAGCTGTGCCGATTTACTTCCCACTAGCAACCTACTCATGTCTGATTTCTCCACATCCGCGAGTGCCTATCATTCTCATTTTTCGTAATAGCCATCCTTATAGGTGTGAGGTGGTGTCTCAGTGTGGGTTTGGTTTGCATTTTCCTGATGATTAGTGATGTTACCAGTTATATAAGAGTTTTACAAGGAAGAAAGCTTAGGACATGATAAGACAGTTTCCTTTCTATTCCATCCTGAGAAATGCACAGGAACTGGAGGAAACGATTGACTTGTCTAGGACTAGGACTGGAAGCGAGTTTCCTGTAGGGAAATAGTGTGAAGCTGACAAGTTGAAGGTGTCAAGGTTTTCAGGATTGAAGCCTGACTCAGTTACCCAGAACTCTGTCTGGAGAGCTATAAATGCCATAACTGTGCATTGACAGGGGTCTATGAACACTGTAACCATCAGTAGCTGTCCATAACTATCATAACTGTGTGTCAGCAGCTGTCTGTAATCACTGTAATCATCAGTAGCTGTCCGTAAATACCTTAACTGTTCATTGACAGCTATCCATAAACCCTATAACCATCAGTACCTGTCTGTATATACCATAACTATACATTGACAGCTGTCTGAATACTAAGCACCAGGAGCTGTCTATACGTACCATAACTACAATGACAGCTGTCTGTGAACACTAACCATCAGCAGCTGTCTGTAGGTACCAAAACTGAGCATCAACAGCTGTCTGTAAACACTGTCATCAGTAGCTGTCTGTAAATACCTTAAATGTGTATCAACAGTATAACTCTGCATCCAGAGATATACAGCTATCTGTATGTACTGTTGACTGCATAGACAGTTATCTGTAAACACTATAGCTATCAGTAACTGTCTGTGAATACTATAACTTTGCATTGACAGCTGTCTGTAAACAGTATAGCCGTCAGTAGCTCTCTATAATGTAGGTGTTGAAAGGTGTCTTACATAAGCCAGTTATTCAACATCAGGTTCTAGGTAAAAAGCTATCTCCTTTCTTCGCCCCCCCACCCCAAAACCCTAAAATCTGTGAAATGCTGAAGCTTGAGGGAGTGGATTTGAAAAAGATGAGTTCTCCAAAGGACTGTGCTTAGTAGCTGCTCTTGCTTCTTTGTGGAATAAAGAACATCAGTGATCGAGGTGCTAAGAGCCAAGACACAAGATAGATATTATTATAAGATATATAATAAGATAGTCTTATTATGAAGAACTGAACAGGTTCTTTCTTTTTTTTTTTTTGGAGACAGAGTCATATTCTGAAGCCATGGGGTCATAGCTCACAGCAACCTCAAACTCTTAGGCTCAAGTGATCCTCTTGCCTCAGCCTCCTTAGTAGCTGGGACTACAGGCACCCACCACTACACCTGGCTAATTTTTTTTTTAATTTTTAGTAGAGATAGGCTTTTGCTCTTACTCAAGCTGGTCTTAAACACCTGAGCTCAGACATTTCCACCTACCTTTGCCTCCTAGAATGCTAGGATGGCAGGTGTGAGCCACTGTGCCTGGCCTGGACGTGTTAATTCTTGATTTCAAAAAGTTGAACTAAAAAATTCCAAATTTAGGGAGAATGATAGATTATTCTTCAAGTTCATATACTGTTTTAAATGTAGTTTTCCCTTCGACCTCATGCATCTGTCTGGTTCAGTAGATTGCACTGAGTACCGTGTCCTCCAGCCCAGCAAACCCAAGCCCACAAGTCTGACCCAGCAATAGATAGTAATTTCTAATTCATTTATGTTGCTTTATTTTGAGACAGAGCCTCGAGCTATCTCCCTGGGTAGAGTGCCGTGGCTTCACAGCTCACAGCAACCTCCAACTCCTGGGCTCAAGCGAGTTTCCTGCCTCAGCCTCCCAAGTAGCTAGGAACACAGGTGCCCGCCACAACGCCCGTCTATTTTTTGGTTGCAGCCGTCTTTGTTGTTTGGCGGGTCCAGGCTGGATTTGAACCCACCACCTTAGGTGTATGGGGCTGGCGCCTTAGCCACTTGAGCCACAGGCGCCGAGCCTTATGTTGCTTTTTTTGAAAAAATGGTGTGGTGGCTCGTATCTGTAATTCTAGTACTCTGAGAGGCTGAAGCAGGAGGGTTGCTTGAGGCCAGGAGTTTGAGACTAGTTTAAGCAAGAGGGAAACCCATGCTCCCATCTCTACAAAAAATTTAAAAAATTAGCAGGGTGTGGTGGTGCACCAGTTGTCCCAGCTACTCAGGATGCTAGGGCAGGAGGATCACTTGAACCCAGGAGTTTGAGGCTACAGTGAGCTATGATGGTGCCACTGCACTCTAATCTGGGCAACAGAGTGAGACTCTGCCTCTAAGAAGAAAATTATTATTTTTTGCTTAAACCGTTACATAGCAACTTAGTATGTACAGTGCTATCTCTAAGTCAAAAGGAAAGGATACTTGCTATCACACTAACAGAATTTGCAGGTTTCTTATGATGCTACATAGAGGCCAGTAGGAAAGGGAGCAGTCAGTGAGACATAGGTACAGCCTAAAAGCCTGCCCCTCCTCAACTGTTCTTTTTAAATGAGTGGTGAGATAGCTGAAACCTCCTTCTGTTACATAGAAGAAGATCTATGGGGAGTGGGGAATAAGCACCTGTCCTTAGTAGTGGCCTCCAGATACCCTGACACAGCAGACCCTCTGGGATGGTGAGGAGGAAACAGCAGTGAGGCCAGGTCCACCAAATTCACATTGCTGGCCAGCCTGGGCAGACTTTTATTCAAAGCACTGCGGGATATGCTCGGGTCTCACCACTGCAGCCTAGTGGGTCCACGTGTCCTCTGAGAAGGCCCTGCTCACTCTTACGCACATTTTGGCACTGGTTGGGTTGCAGTTTGGGTTGTTTAAATGTAAGGCCTTTGACAAGCACCCCTTCTGGATTGTCAGCAGATAAAGCCACTTGCTTCAAGTTTGCCCTTCAAATAGTGTTGCAGTCAGTGTGGCCGTAAATGGATGCTGTTTGGTTATGTTAAACTCTGTAGCTGTCTGGGTTCCTGGACTCTAGTTATGTGTATTTCAAGTGCTTGGAAGAAGCACTTTTTCCCCTTTTTTTACTTTTCCAACATCCTTTTGGCTGTTAATAAGGCTCCCGGGTCCGTTAACAGTAACCTTGGTATTTTAAAATAACTTTTTATTTAAAAAATTTGATTTACAAGAAGTTGCAAAGAAATGCACAGAGTGTTCTGTGCATTTACTGGCCCCCAGTGCTCTCAGGCATGTGAGAGGCACCGGTGTATGGGAGCACAAGGTGCTCCCCTGCAGTGGCAGTGTTGTCCTTGTGTTCACATGTTCACTCCTGTTCTGTGGCTGGAACCCAGTGTCATGTCCTGTTAGTCTTATTTGCAAATGGGAATGAGCCCCCCTCTGAGTTCAGGTGCATAAACACACAGTGGTCACCGCTGACACCCAAAGCCCTTCACTTGCGAGCTGCTGTGAGTACTATTGCCAATGGTCCACAGCCAGGTGGAGCCACGTCACTCTGAAATGCCAGAAAGAACATTCTGCCTGCCCCCCCCCCCCCGCCCCGACAGCCCTGGCCGGTGACAGGTAATGTTCTCTGTGGATAGCTGCTTGTTTTGGGTAGGGCATCCTTGTGGTATTGCATGTGCTCCAGAGCTTCCAGAGATCAGGCTTTTCTTCTCAGGTTCTGCTAGAGTACCTGAGCAGGGCAGGTAGGCAGAGGCCTGTATGTAATGTAATAGGAACAGGGGAATTGGGGGGCCCTGGTGGCTTTCCTGGAGCCCCTGGACTCTGGGACCAGAGGCTCTTAAAGCATGGCCTCTACACACTGGCACTTCCTGGCAGCTACCAGCTGCTTTAAACACCCAAGTTGAGACTGTGCCCAGCCTGGCTGGAGGTTTTACATAGAAGACTTTGTAAACGTGCTGCCTCATTGAGGCAGCTGCCAAGGATACTACTGTTGCCAACAAAGGACCAGGCCAGGGCCCAGTGGTACATGTGAGCCAGCCCCACTCTCCGCTGCAGGCCTGGCCAGAGAGGGACTAGTGGGGCTGCTGGACAGGGAGCCTGGTCCTAGGGCCTTGGCTTGGAGATTGGCCCAGGGCCCTAGATCATGCATGTATTTCAGGACAACACCCATAGGGTGGGACTCAGAGCTGCCCATCATATTTACTCTATCCTCTGTGTTTTCTTTTCTCTTGCATGTAGGTCCGCCAGGCAGTGACCTCCGTGGTGGGGGGCTGGCTGCTGGACCTGCGGGATCGCTACTCCTTCTTTCACAAGCTCATTCCCTTGCTGCTGAGCAGCTTTAAGGATGAGATGCCCGAAGTCAGGTGAGTTGTTCTGTGGGGCTTTAGGCCCTTTGTTTTCAGGGGCTTTCAGGAGCCTACAGCCAGTAATACCCTGCCCTGGGGTCCAGACAGAACTTTGTCTTCAGCTGGAAGCAGTGGGCTCGGTTGTTTGTGGTTTATCAGGGACTTGTTTCCCTAAATTGTCAGTCTGTCAGATTCCTGCCTTTGTCTCTAAATCCATCTGTTAGGAGATTATGGGCGTTACATCTTTTTAATACTTTGCTTGGGCTTAGGCAACTGGATAGGAATTAAGCAGTCTCCTTTTAGTGCTGTCAGGAAAATATCAACAGACAAGCAGAATTTCTGCTCTGCTCCTTAGGGACCAGCAAAAACCTACCTGATGAACCCAGTGAGGTCTACTGATTTGACCCGACATCCTGGTTCAGTGTAGAGCAGCCCCCTGGGCTTACCCACAGTGAGTGGCCTGCACTGCCAGTTCTGTCTTTTTGTTGTGCTGTAGGGAGCTGGCCACCAGCCTATGGGAGAAGGTTGGCCTGCAGTGGCAGAAGGAGAACGAGGATGACCTGAAGGACAAGCTGGACTTTGCCTCACCACCCCCAGCCCATTACCCTCTGCACGGTGAGTGCCACCTAGAGGACAGGAGGGCAGGCTGGGAGGTGGCTCCTTGCACAAACACACAAGCATTTGAAGGCTTCAGCTTCTGCAGCTACTCACGGGGAAGGCAGCAGGTGGAAGCCCTGCCTGGTGTGCAAGAGCTGGTGCCACCCTGTGTCCTGGGCAGGTCACTGTGTGCCCTCATCTACTTATTGGTGATCTCTTTCCTCTTCTCAGCTAGCTTTATTTTAAAGAGGTGAGTGGGCTTCTGGAGACATCCAGGTACACCCTGGAAGATGCCCACATCACTCTCCTCAGAGCATCTTTGAGGAGCCCTGAAGCCCTAGCAGCTCTGCTAGTGGTGGTAGGTTTGGATACGGGCAACAAAGGGGTGTTTGTCATTTTACTAAAAAAGGCCTAACACATAGGTCACAAATGAGATGTAGCCTTTTATTTCCACGTGATATCCACACTTGGAGCAGGATCTGCTGTGGCGCAGCCTCCTGCTTCCCCAAGTTTGCTTCCTGGTCAGGTTGTGGCTCACACTTACCACATTAGTGAGGCTGCAGGGGCTGGTCAGGCCCAGTGCTAAGCATCTTCCACTTGCATGATCAAATGCTTTGATCACTTCATTCTGTCTGTAGGGCATTTTCTTAAATAATAGATATGCACTGATAAGGACAAAAAGTAGGTAAAATGCAACCAGGTCATATACTCATGAGAGACTCAGAACTTCTCACATCAACTCTTCAGGGGTCACTGGTCTTTGTGCTGGAGGTATGTTGTAAGCTGTGGAGTATGATGTTAAGGCTCGGACACCTGTTCTTTGTATTTGGTATCTGGTGTGGTGTTAGGTTTGAGGCTACAGTGGCGCTGCTCCGCGTAGCCTGGGAATCAAGTTCTTTCCCTCTGGTCAGGGTCTTGCTGCTCTTGGAGCTTCACCCCACCCTATGAGGTTGGAATGAGGGGAAGCACACAAATTTGGAAAAGGCTTAAAAATTAGTTGCTAGCGAGATTTTCTCTGAGTGAAGTCAGCTTGAAAACACACCATCTTTTTAAAAATGTGGAACATAGACATAAAGATAGCCTGTGAGTTTATTTTTAAACATACCCTCTGTACTAACAACAGAAGTAGAATTCCCAGGGAATTGTTTACACATTCTGTCAGTGCCTTCTCCCTTGAGCTGCCTGGAGCTAAGGAGGAACTGGACTGTACATTGTATGTGTATTTGTGACAGATTTGACCCAGGTTTTGATCATTGATTAAGTAATAATTGTTTTTAGATGTGAAGTCTGGTATGTCTGCCTAAGTAATTTCTGTGTAGAACCTGAGGTCTGTGCCAGATTGTTCTTACGCACTCACTGCAGTCCACAGAAAATCCATCAAATGTCAGTGGAGCACAAGGGGTTGTCTTTGTGATGTAGGAAAATTTTTGTCTTTGCCAAATCTCACTATAGAGGAAAGGAGGGACAGGAGACAGGGACTGTTTAAGAAGATACAGTCCTTGCAATGTGATAAATGGGAGGACAGAGCAAGGCATGCGCTGACATACTCCACCTGCCCCACTGACTGTGCAGGCACCCATGGGAGGGGCTGCATCTGTTCGGTGGAACTATAAGCCCTTCAGGTGCTGTTCAACTCAGAAATAGTTCAAAGACATGAGGATGTTTCTAACCGATAATTATAAAAATTATAAAAATCTAGTTATACATTCCGAGGTTTGGAGAATGTTATGCACAGAGTTTTTGTTTCAACTAGAGCAGAATAAATTTAGAATTAAAGTCAGTGGCATTAGCACACTATTTGATTAGATTTTTGGCATTTTATTCTAAAATTGCTTTTCTTCAGTTTTTAGATTTGAATTTTATTATTTATTTATTTATTTATTTTTAGAGATAGAGTCACACTTTGTCGCCCTTGGTAGAGTGCTGTGGAGTCACAGCTCACAGCAACCTCTGGGCTTAGGCAATTCTCTTGCCTCAGCCTCCCGAGTAGCTGGGACCATAGGTGCCCACCACGATGCCCAGCTATCTTTTTTTGTTGTTGCAGTTTGGCCGGGGCTGGGTTTGAACCCGCCACTCTGGGTGTATGGGGCCGGCGCCCGACTCACTGAGCCACAGCACCACCCTATTATTTATTTTTTGAGACAGTCTCACTCTGTCACCTGGGTAGAGTGCAGCAACCTCAAACTCTTGGATCTGAGCAGTCATTTTCCCTCAGCCTCCTGAGTGGCTGGGACTACAGGTGCCTGCCTATAGAAAAATGCTAGTTTTTCCATTTTTAGTAGAGACCGGGTTTTACTCTTGCTCAGGCTGGTCTGGAACTCTGAACTCAGGTGATCCTCCCGCCTTAGCCTCCCAAAGTACTAGGATTAGAGGCATGAACCACATCCAGCAAGGTCTGAATTTTAGATGAGATTTTTCAGGTTTTTTTAATAGTGTTTCAAATGGCAGATGATGCCAGTCTTTCCCCCCAAACCTTGCCCACTTGTGCCCTTCCTGTGGGTACGTGGTATTACCTGGGGTCTGTGGTATTCATTTCCCCAGGTGGTCACACCCATGCCTCCCAGGCCTGCTGTGCACCTGCTCTGTCAGGCAGATGTGGGCACATCCATTTCCCAGAATGTCCTCCAGCACCTGTACTGCTGCTCTGCTTGTGTCCCTGTAGTTCCCTTCCTAGGACAGCGTGTGATGGAAATCAGGCCAAACGTGCCTTTACTTTGGGCCATTCCATTCGGTGCCACACATTGGAGGTTTGCCTTCAGTGGCAGTGGCAGCCACAGCACTTTCCTGTCTAGTGACTTGCAGATGTGCTGTTTGTCACGCCCTCTGTATCATTTCCACTCTCACCAATGCAGACTGAGATTTCCAGTTGCTGTGCATTCTGACCAGCACTTAGTGTGGTTGGGGATGTTGTTTTCAGCCTTTCTAATTGGTATGTAGTTGATTGCATAGTAGATTTAATTTGCAATTCCTTGACGATAATTGATACTGAGATGATTTCACGTACTCATTTCATTACATATGCTTGTCCCTATCTCTTTGGTTAAGTGTTCATTCGATCATTTGCCTATTGGGTTCTTCGTTTTCTTATGGAGCTCTCAGAGTGTTCGGGATTCAGGCCTGTCAGGGCTGTGTTTCATAGCCTCTCTGGTTGGGCTGCCTTTTAACTCCCCCATTTATGCCCACCTGGGGTCCAGGTCTTGGCCTCACCTCCTCAGAGGTGGCTTCGCTCCCCACTGGGCCCTGTATCCCTGGTGGGTGTCATGCTGTTTCTTACTGACTAGGCTCTCTTGCTCCCAGAGGACAGTCTTATCACTGCTACATCCCAGTACCAGGCAGGTGAGCTCAGCACAAAGTGGGTCCGTGAGTATCAGGTGAACAGGGGAGGTGGCCTCTTCCCTGCAAGGACAGTCTGTGTGGTTGGATTGCAGAGAGTGTGAACAGACAGAATTGGGTGGCCTTTATAGATCACTGCTATATACACTGTGCTTAAAGGTAGTGACCCATAAAATAAAGCAGCAGTCCCCAATCTTTTTGGCACCAGGTACCAGTTTCATAGGAGATAATTTTTCCACAGGATGGGGGTCGGTAGCTTCAGGATGATTCAAGCACAGTACAGCTCCACCACAGAACATCAGGCATTGGAGTCTCATAAGGAGGCACGCCCTAGATCCCTCACACGCACACTTTCCAGTAGGGTTCCTGCTCAGTTGAGAATCTAATGCTGCTGCTGATGTGACAGGGGCAGAGCTTAGGTGACGATAGGAGCAATGGGGAGCAGCTATAAATACAGGTGAAACTTTGCTTACTGGCCACACTCCCCTGCTATTTGGCCTGGTAACTAACAGGCCATCAACTGCCACTAGTCCACAGCCCAGCGGTGGGGACCACAGAAATAGAGAACATAGATAAGCTAGAACTGGTTCCCAAGTTTAACCAGAGCCCAGTTTCCCTCTTTTTCCTAAGAAAGTAATGTGTCCATTGTATAGAAACATAATTGACAGCACATAGTTTATGGTTAGCTTTACAGACACAGCATAAGTTTCCTGTGAAAAGTCTCTACTTTTAAAACGAAGCTGTGAGCCAGGTGCAGTGGTTTATGCCTATAATCCTAGCATTCTGAGAGGCTGATGTGGGTGAATTGCCTGAACTCAGGAGTTCAAGACCAGCTTGAGCAAGAGTGAGACCCCATCTCTACTAGAAATAGAAAAACTAGCCTGGCGTTGTGGTGGGCACCTGTAGTCCCAGCTACTCGGGGGGCTGAGGCAAGAGGATGACTTGAGCCTAAGAGTTTCAAGTTGCTATGAGCTATGTTGACACCACAGCATTCTATCCAGGGCAAAAGAGTGAAATTCCATCTTAAAAAATAAAATAAAACCAGGCGATGTGTTGGGAAGATTGGGAAGGGCTTCATTTGTCTACTTCAAGTCAGTGGTTTACCTGAACCAAGTGCCATTTTCTACAGAAGTACAAGTTCATGCTTGACACGCCTCTGATAGTCAAGCTGCATACTGCCAGCACCAGATGGTTTGATGACAGTAGATTCCGGATTCCTTTCTACTTTGAAATTATCTCTCTATTAAGAGTGTTTTCCTTGGCAATGCCTGAGTGCAAAGGGAAGCACTTCTTTGTAATGGTGAATGGCTTGCCAGCTCTTTTAACATAAGAGAATAGAGTCAGCTCTTTTTAAAATCCATTTTAGACTTCCCTTTGAATAAATACTGTTTATATGTAGATTGTCTTCCACATAATTCCTGCTGTCTCTCCACATTCTGCCCAAGCACTCACCTGCTTTGCTTATGGTTTCACCCACACATTTAGAGAGATGCATCACTTGAGTGAAAGTTGTGAGAAATGTTACACTGTGCAGAGAATAAAGAAATAGGCTGGAAAAACTGGTGTGCATTTTTTGGAACCAGCATTTTTTGGAATCCTGTGTGGTGACTTAGCCACTCCAATTTAGCTTCCCGTATTAAAAATGGAAGAATCAGCTCGGTGCCTGTGGCTCGAGTGGCTAAGGC